TAAGTATAACATCAGCAAGGGATCTAGTGCCACTATACTATCGCAAATGGCGCAAGTTGAAGGCTCAATCGTCAAATGGGACGAAGCAGAAATTATTAAATCGGTACATTCACCGACATTGGCGAATTGCGCAGAAAAAATTGAAATATATAAAAGCAAATTGCATGATTCATGCATCAATTCTAGAGATTCTGAAGGGTTGCCTTCGGCCTGGAAATACTTTATCAAACGATTGGACAAATCTTAATTTATTGCGGCGATTTTAATATTTTTTCGCATAAAGTGCATTTCACTGAATTTCTATATAACGTTTTAATATTTAGTTAACCTATGCTTATTTTTTCGTATACATTTTTTGTTATTTGTAACAATAATTTTTATTTATTTTATTAGTCTGTATACATTTATATATATATTTCGCTCGTTATTTTATTTTATTTGTATTTAAATTTTTGTTCTATTTTATTTATATTCGAATGTTCTTAGCCTGACGATGGCCAACTGATTTGGCTGAAAACGTTAGCTTTACATTAAATTTTTTCTCAGCAAATTAAGGTATTTGTTTTTTGATTTATATACTATTGCTGAGTGTGTGTACATCAATTACTCATGAAAAGTTTGGAGTAGATTTCAAAATGTAAATTTAATTAGATACCCTGATGTAAAAGTACATAAAAGCCACTTAAGATACGATTGTCTGTTGTTATAAAAAATTATATTTGCTATGGTTTGCTGATTTATTGTAAACTTTATAAAAGAAATTGATAGCCAATAGCCAATCAATTTATTTCATTCACTGCCTTCCATTCCATTAAAGATTAATCTGGAATATACCATTATTGTTATTATTAATGACACTATAAAATTTTCAGAGATAATGAGTTTACGTAACCACTATTTCTATGAATAGCTTCATTTGTTCTGTAAAGCCTAGACACGAATACAGACTGAGCATGAGTTCGAATATACAAGAGGTATGTCTGAGCTGTTTCATCAGCTCTTGTTGGACGACTGCTCTTATATTTGGGTTGGACGCATTTGAAACTTGTAATTGTAAATGCTCAACAAAAGACAAAAAATTTCAAAATACCAAATTAAAGAATATGTATATTCGATTTATCGAACTGACTTTACGCGGATATACAATTCTTCTCATATGGCAAATAATCCCAGTAATCAATGAATATGCGATATGCATTGGTTGGCATGACGTATACGAAAAAAATTCCATGTTATTTAAAATAGTAATTTCTGTTATATTTATCATTTATTGTATTGGATTCGACTTCATCAAACGCTACAAATTCAATTTGAATAAGCCATTAAGAAATAAATACTTTCGATTAAAAATGATTAACGAATATAACATCTTATTACAATATGTTACTCTGGTCATTTCCTTTGTTATAATAGTAGCCATTAATTTGTATCAAATTTCGATTACTGTATTTGCCTACCCTTACATAGAAATTAAACAGAAATTTCATGGGGAAGCTCTCTTCTGTACTACATTCATCACCTTAAATGTAAGTTTTCTTATTGGTGGAATCGGTTACACCTTATTGTTAGGGGCATTGTTAATGCTGATCTCACATAAGGAATTTGAGTAATTGTCGATGGAATTGCTTTTAGTAAAAAGAAGAGATTCTGATTTATGAGAAAACGTAAACAAATTAATCATGCATCATGAAGAACTTTGGATTTTCGTGCAACAGTTCAATTCTAAGCATAATTTAATATTTGGATTTCTGTACTTTGGAATCGTTTGGTTGACAAGTTTTTTATATTATGCGTTTCTGTTCTTAGAACTTCATTATTTCATTAAATTGTTCATACTCTTTTTGATGATACTATTCACTTGCATTAGCATAATTGCTGGCTGTCTTCTGTGCTCTTTAGCATTTATGGTAATTACATTCTATATGCACTATTGACATATGCTTTAGATAGTTTATAGTTGCTTTTTCTTGCAGATGGAAAATACATTTCAAGATATCAGACAATTTGCAGGATGTGACATTGGAGAAAATCAAAAGCTAAAGGTATAAAGTTTAAATAATATTTAAACAAATATTTTCCTAATATTGACAATAATTTCAGATTTTGAACTTCATGAAAAGATTCGGAAAAGTCTCTCTCTGTCTCACAATTGGTAGATTTTTGATTATTGACAAGAGAATTCCCCTGAAGGTTGTATTATTTTCTTAATTAATTGCGGTTTTGTAACTAAAAATAAATTGAGTTAAATTTAATTTTTTCAGATGGCAAAAACGTTGCATTCAGTTTTCTCTGGTTTCAAAAAGCTAAAAAGCATTTCGAATGAAGAACAAAACTGTTCACAGATTTATAAAATTAATTTCACAGAAATGAATTTAAAAAATAAATAAATAGAACCTCTGTAGGAATGAGTATTTTTTATTAGAAAGTCTTTCTTGGCAATTCTTTCTGGTAAATAATATGTTTCTTTGCAATTATGATGTTTGTTAAATGTATTTTATAGACGAGTATAAATAAAGCATTATAGTTTATTATTGCTTAAATCATTTTTTGTCGAAAATACCGGTAAACAAATCGCTATTATTTTCGTACTTGATTTTAAAATTACGCTTCAAACTTATTTTCGCAGTGAGCCAGTAAAAGTGATAATGCAGACACTTGCCTTACTTTCAATATAGTGCTGATGATTTATTTATGGAGTTATCAAAATTAGTTAGAAATGTCAAGTATATGACGTAAGTTTCTTTCTCTAAAATTAGTATACATAAAAGAAATTCGTCAAAATACAAATAACAGCAGTAAAAAGATAAAAAGGTAACAATAAAATAAAAATATTCACATTATTAAAGATCTTTTACGATCGTATTTATAACGATGTTTATAACACAGTTTAACTCGACATTGCTTTTTGATCAATGTATGATTAAAATATATTTCCTACAATGTATTTAAACATGTACAGATATGGAAACAGAATATAACAGTAACTTAAAATGTTACAAAAACTCACAAAAATATAGTGTAGTTTCTTGGCAATATAAGACAGAAAAACGCTTGTTGAAACAGATAGTTCAGATCTCTATAGTGTTATTTATCAAGTGGAAAATAGCAGTGAAATTTGGTTGAGAGTTCGCACCTCACCAACAAGCTGGCTGCATAGAGTTATTATAATAACAGCAACCCCAAGAAAATCGTTTTTTTAGACACTCTTCTTAGGTAAAATCTCCACGTTATTTGTTGCTTTTTCTTACAATTCCGTAAATCCGTACTTTAATAATACAATGATGGAAATTTGATAGACAATAAAGTTCTGTAAATATATATATTTTTAACACATACAATACCTACTTTGTATTGTTTTTATGAAAATATTAACTTTTCAACAGTGGAGTAGTCAGACGTGGCGCTACCACTTAGTTGTGGAGAAGAAGCGTGGGAAAATTTTTAAGAATTATTCCACGTGTTTTTCTCGTTTCCGTTGCGAAGAAAATTTTGTAAACATTTATGTCTAGTAAAGAAAAAATTCTTTATTGTCACATAATTCTTTTTTTATGTGAATTTTTTTCGCGGTAATTTTTGTCTAAAATTTTTATTGAAATATATATTAAATTGTCTAATGATTATCTACCGTGTTTCCCCGAAAATAAGACATCCGCAGAAAATAAGACCTAGCACAGATTTTGCTCAATTGCGAAATATAATTCCTCCCCCTGAAAGTAAGACCTAGCCAAGTTTTTTTAGTCGTAATGGACATCGACAGATGGTTGAAAGTGGCCGTTGGCTTTTTGAAAGTACAGCCACTGATTGGTCAGCAGACAATTACGCCACACAGCATGATTTGCATAAGGCTATGGCTTGGGAATCACAGATTTGCATAACGTTACGGCTGATGATGGCTAATTGGTCGGCCGGGAATCACGCCACATGACATTTGCATAGTGCTACGGTCCAGTAAGCACTAATTGGTCAGCGAGTCCGATGTTGACGCTATAAAAAGGCGACAGTTCGACACACCGGATATACGTCATTCTCGTCTAAGTTTGACTTGGAATTATTTTGTTCAATAATAATTGTGAATTCTTCTTCCTGGAAAAAAATAAGACATTCCCTGAAAATAAGACCTAGCGCATTTTTCAGAGCAAAAATTAATATAAGACACTGTCTTATTTTCGGGGAAACACGGTATCCATTACGATTTTTTCAGAAGTTTTCAATTTATTTTCAATTTTATATAATTTTTTAAAGTTTCATGCATTTAAGTCATGGCGATTTTTTCCAACCTGCGAATGAAATTCCAAAAAATGTAATTGACAGTTAACGAATTTCATCCACGATTGTAGATGACGTAACAGTTGTTATTGTGAGATCCTGAGGGCCCTGGGCCTCATTTGTGAATTTTTATTAATATGTTTAAATTATCGACAAAATATTATTTCATTTTGTGTGAAAAAACTAGTGTTTTAGACGTGGGAAAAATAGATGACAGATGACACTTCCTTTCCACAGAAGAGAACATCCGCTGTTTTTCCCTTATCCGTTAAAAATCTCGCTCCGATGGGAAATGGTTACCCCTTATTCATCCCCCTCTCATCCGTTCTCACGAAAGAGCTAATGGACGATGATTGGACGAAATTTTGAAATAAAAGGAGAAATTAGTCAGAATTCGAGGAGTTCTCCGACCGATTTGAAAGTGTCCAGGCTCCACATACTTTCCGGGAGTTCAGCGACGAGTTCTTCGACAGATCCGAAGCATACAAACTCCACACGCAGTTTTTCCTCCTGATGGCCAACGCCCATAACGGAGTCCGATAGACTAAGTCCCGAGTCTACACTTAGAAGAAGTTATATTTTATATTTTGTGCACGAATTGATCTCCCATACGAAAGTAATAGGAACTCTATTTACAAGGTGTCCTCTACCTATACAGAAACGAAAACGGCGACAACTAACAGGTCGTATGTTTAGAATCATTTGTGAGCTCTCTCTCTCGAACGCGCATAAACCTAGAAGAGGTTTTAACCTCTAGCTTGTCGTTTTAATTGTGGTTATCGATCATTTCTATTCGTTTGTTTAGATTTATTAAATTTTACTTATGTTTATTATACAAAAATGTCTCTTAATTGGATGTCCGAATCAGATCGCAAACGCGTGTTAATCCGCGTAAATAAAATCGATTAACTGGTGTCGGGAACCTGACAATTGGGATAAAGACCTCGCAGTCTAGAATTCCCTTTACCTAAATATCACCGCCCTCCGGTCAAACAAATCTTGACATAGGATCAGATCTCTCGATCTGAAACCTGGAGAACTAGTCTCACCGACTAGCTGCCGAATAAGTGGTACAAACATTCCTCCCTCGGATTAGTACCCCCGGCTGATCTCACATTATGTTTACAACTACGACGCCTGGCGGCCATACCCCCCCGGACTGTGAAATGGGTGAAGGTCGTCTTCTGTTCATACTTTCTGTAGTAGTGACGTAATCTGACGTAATCATTTATATATATATAAATGAATGTATGTGTGTTTGTGTGTGTGTGTGTGTGTGTGTGTTTGTGTGTGAGTGTGAATGTGTGTGTGTGTCTGTCCTTCATGCATTAACACACCGTTTATCCGATTGCTGTGAAACTTTAGAAAGTTGTTTAATATACTCCCAGATCTGGCATAGTTCGATTGCCATGAAACTTTGGGAAGTTTTTTAAGACACTCCCGCGAAGGTTTCTGGCAAAGTACATTTATCCTACGATAGATGGCGCGCGTGTATACGAGCATTTTACTGTGTGTTCGATCGATTTCAAATTGTGAAGATCATTTCCCCTATCCAAATAATATCTATATACATGCATTTGTGAACTGTTATTTACGATATTTGTAATAATATTTTAAATTAACTAAATTAATTAATTAATCACTTTATTCCAACTTTTTTTTGCTAATTAGGTATTCGCTCGAACTTTGTTAAAACCTTAACTGTATCCCAAACAACAACCGAAGTTGTATGAGGAAATTCGCCTATTTTATCGATCTAGGGATCCCCTTTTCCAAATTTTAATATCAACTCAAAATAATTTAAAAAGACAAATTACAATAAAACGGTTTATTATCCAACTATCAGAAATTTCACAACATGCCAAGGAAGAGAGGAAGGAGCAATTAAATAATTAAAAATTGTAAAGGATAAAAAATATATATATAAAAACGGGGAATATCGCACTTCTGACAATCGCTACAAGTGTGTGGGCTAAATTTGGAGAATCCATGTTTCTCGCATGGACAACTGTATATGGCCAGCTCACGCATTGGAAAATCTTCTGATTTATTCGTGTACGCACCAGACGAAAAACAAAAATATCGTGTATCCACAAACACTCCAATAAATAAATAGAATTGAAACGACACTTTGAAATGTTTTCCCGATAAAAATGATAAAATGTGGTCGTATGTGGTCTTTAATGTATGCTGATAGAATGTGGTCGTATGTGGTTCTCTTCATAACAACCATATCCTTTGATTTATCCTGCCTAGTGATAACTACGTTATTGCCTCTAAGCCAGTTCTGGGTTTTTCTAATATAAGGCCATATAGGATCTCTGTCTCTTTTTTCATTCCTCATGCTTGATTTTCAATGCGACTTCCCATCTAAACATTTCTTTCTTTGTTTCGCTGAGGCCCTGTAATGCTTGCTCGATATCTGGTATGAGGCATATATCTCGATATATGCTGGGACAGCATCGATTTGCCTACATTCGTAAAGAAAGCAAGTAAATACGTCCCTAAATACGCCCCAATACCTCTAATCAAACAGGACAGACTCATACCAGACATCGAGCAAGCATTAGAGGGCCTCGGCGAAACTAAGAAAGAAATGTTTAGATGGAAGTCGCATTAAAAATCAAGCATGATGAATGTAAAAGAGACAGAGATCCTATATTGCCTTATATTAGAAAAACGCAGAACTGTCTTAGAGGCAATAACATAGTGCTCACTAGTGCGGATAAATCAAAGGATATGGTTGTTATGAAGAGAACCACATACGACCACATTCTATCAGCATACATTAAAGATACCCGCTGTAAGATTGCACCCCCCAACGCCGTGGGGAAACTGCGATAAAAGTGAATAATAATAATAATAATAATAATGTTTGAATAAAAATGATAAAATGTAAATTGAATTTTATCATAACGAGTTTGATAGAATTTCCTTTCTTCTGAGATCGCAGCAATGCGCGATGGGTAAGCAGGTTGTAAATAAAAGAAAATTTCATTATATCTAAAATTAAATAGGAAATTTTATTTAATTTTAAAATTTGTTGTTCAAATTTACACCAAAATATTAAAGCGGTTAAAAATATTAGCATTTGGTAAATATACTTAATTTACGTATAATGAATATAAATAAAATTTTAAGAAAGAACAAAACAATAAATAAATTGGAAATATTTTTTATATTCATCTTCAGATTTATTACATATGTTATACTAATTCACCGGTATTTTAATT